CCCCGGTCGGCGAACACACCTACACGAAAAGATAAATCGCTCTCCCAAAACCCCAATTTAATTCCCGACCGTAACATGTGCATCATCGTGCAAAACTATATTTCCGCCATGAAGGTCACAATGCACAAGTCCTGCAAGATGAATATCTCTCAGAGAACGTGTAATATCCTTCAAAAGCTCTAATTTCATCTTCCATGTCAGCTTGTTGATATTTTGATTTAAATAAGACAAAAGATTACCATTGCTAGCATATTGCATAACAATTATATATTTTTTTGTTTCTGGGTCTTGTGTGACTCCATAAATTTTAAGGAAACGGTAGCGCGAACAGGTAGCATGGTTTCTAAACTATTAAATATAATAAATTAAATACAGTCAGACTAAATATCACTTCATTAATAATATCAAAGATTGCTTACCTCGGAAATAAATAATTCCGGCGTCCGATCAAAGTTGTTGAAGCGTTTGAGGACAACAACCTCTGGAATCTGCTCCTTTGACTTGTCCTTATATTTGGCACTATAAACCGTTCCATAACCACCAGATCCGATCTTTTTGATCTCATCAAAATCAGTGCATTGCATATACGCAACATCTTCGTTAAGTCGTATAAATCTGTCCAATAGTGTCTGTACGTCGTGGTAGAACACTAAATAATACCCTCGAGTAGATGGCGCTTGAGTAATACCAATAATCCAGATATTATTTGGTGTTAATATTTCCGTATATTCTTTCGTCAGCTATTTGAGGAAACAAATACGGTCGTTACAACAATATCGATTTAACGCGCAGAGTTATTTGCATTGTTTTCACGTAAAATTATTTACCTGATAAAAATCAAACGAATGAGCATCCTGTCCGCCAACTATCTTCTTGAGTGCCACTCTTGTCCATTCATTTGTCATTTGTTCTAACCAATCTGCTATATGTGTGCAGCCATGGCGTAACGGTGTCATATTTTGCACGTTTGTCAATGAAGAATACTTTATCCATTGTAGATAGGCATCATACTTATTCTTCGTATTACTCCATGATTCCATAATAAATAGATCCAAAGGCTTATTGCTCGTAGTCCAACCAAGAGGTACTGGTGCTTTACAACGATAACAGAATGCATTTATACTAGGTTGGATCGATGCTGTACATGCCAGACATAATCCATTCTTATTTCCTTTTATTAGATTATACTTTTGTTTACTTGTATTATATGTAAATCCAATGGTAATCCAAACATCTTTGTTAAGAATATCTGGATGCTCATCACATAACTAGTTGAATAATACGTTATATTAATATTAAGTCAATAATTACCCAAACGACTCAATACACATGAATAGTTTACCTTGGCGAAATATAACTCATCTGTCTCATCTGTTATCTCAAGCGGAATCAATTTCACGTAACGATGTATAGGTAAACCTTTTAAGAAGGTGCCATATTCTCTAATATCAATACGATCAAATGGTATCCATTCCAAATAGGCATCATTTGCTGAAGAAGTTTGTAGTTGAGATTTCTTAATAATCTCATCGAGTTGCTTATGGTTGCTAGTCCATCCACTGGATAATTGTTTATGACCACAAATGCACCACACAGGACTACACCGAAGTATTCTACATTCAGAGCAGAATCCATAGAGACCATAGCTATGATAAAACCCTTCATGAGCAACCAGATAATAGTTGTTGTCACACTCGGTAAATCCAATTATGTGTACGTTGCGATTCCCAAGCCATTTTGCATATCGTCCAAATTGACTGACATGATTGTTGTTCTTGTTTGCGGGAAGTGAGTATATTCTACCCAAGTCACTCACAAATGCTGGCGTACATACTTCCCCACTTCCGAGCAATGAGAGTACTATCCTCGTTTCATAATTGTCCAATGTTTGTTTGTAAATAGCATAAGAGACAGTGTCAATTTGACTCGCCTTTATGTCAGTGATTTCCGAATTAGGGACCCATTTTAGTTTATAATATTCTGCTGCTAAAGAGATTTGAATTAAATTGTCAATTGCTGTATGAGCCCCTAAGACTAACGACATCGTTTCTGAAGTAAAAAGATTTTTGGAGAGTGTTCTCTATACTTGCCGTGTTACATTGTACTTTGACACAGGATTCTCCTGATGCACAAATATAAATAGAATAAAGTTTTCGCCCCGTTCATTGTCTAGCTACTAATGCAAATCATAATTAGAAGATATTACAGATATATTAATGATATAGAAATATAAAGGATTTTTCTGAAGGATATTAATATCACTGAGGAAGTAATAAATTGTAGATATTTTTCAACATTTCAGTTTAGCAAAACAAAGCCTCTTAAATAGAAACAAATACGGTCAAAGCTAGTACAACGAATCTCGTTACAATGGAATCGTTTTATAAAAGAATTTTTTTGTCACAATTAAAAATTGCTCGTTACAAATGGATTTTCATAGTAACTCGCGTTATTTATATGGAATTTTGAGTGAATCGATCTATTCACAATTAGTCACACTATAATGGAATAGGCAATTCGAGTACTAATATTAATATGATTGGTTGATTAAATTTAAACGGACATCTTATTACTTTTATTGAATGCGATAAAGTTGCAATTTACCGTATTCTTTGGAAAATAAGCAAACAAAGCAACACTTCAGAATAAATAATTTACCTTTATAAATGTATTCAATTGATTATTTTATTATTATAATAAAGAAAATTGTCGGAAATGATTAATCCATGATATGAGTCTCATCAATGATGTCAATGATATCATCCTCGCCAATGACAAAGTCAGTGGTAATTTCTTTCGTTTTATTAAACTACCCGAAAATAAGCAACACTATAACAAAAAAGTGTTGCTTATTTTCCAAAGAATATGGTATTACTAGCCTTTTGATTTTTAAGTGAATTTATGGCATAACCGTATCAAATAGAAAATATAAATTTCACAATATAATGGAATTACATGAGAAGTCTACTATAACAAATCATATACTGATGTCACATCCCTTAAGAGACATGCTATTCAGGAAATAGATTTCATTATCGCAATTATTACGATGATTAAGAATGTACATACATGCTATTATGGAACTCATGCTATAATGGAGTTCATGGGTTGTGTCAAACTTTCCATTATAATAAGCTGTATTATTATAATTATTAATTGTAATAGTGCAATACTGTTAATCACCAATAACCTCTACTGATGGCTCTCGCTGTCAAATCCCTAATTCATTAAACCCTTCACTACATTCCCAAATTGCCCTCCTCAACTCTTAAAAAAGTTATCTCTTTCATTGTTATGGTAACATTACATATTTCTAGAGTTGAGGTGCATGTATATGAACCCACATATCGATTATATGGGTGAGGAAGGTTTGCGTATGGATTGACAACCTTGATCTAAAAATTTAATAGGAATCGTTAATATTAATACTAAACTCTAAATCATAGTTTTATTGCACTTAATGTATTAATTACCCTGATGCTTCTACTAAAGGCTGCAGCATGGGAACCAGTGATGAATTTCAAGATGTCAGACCGTTCTTCCTCAGTCTCTATCTCTTGGACAAATTCATGTAACCAAGAGATGACATCACCACCACGATTTCTTGTTACCGCACTCAAGTTTTGTTCCACAGGTCTTAGGTCATAGAAAAAGTAATCATCAGGTAAGTGCAACCATTCCTCCAGTTGAACGTGGCCATGAATCTGTCGCGCATTAGTTGGTCAGCATAAAATCATCTTTTTATGTCGTCCCAATCGAGGTTTTAATAACTAAATTAAGAAATGATAATGATTATTAGAATATTGAAATCTCCAATAAAGAATCAATTGATCGAGTAAATACAAACCTCACACAATGATTCCCCATCCAAGTCTACATCCATCCCACGACGTAATCTCTCTAGACTACCATGCGTAATTACTAAGCGTCTAAGTTCAATTTCCTCTGCATAGGCCAATAGGCTTGCTGGAGTATCAATGTCTTTATTCAGCCAATTCAGAATTTCATGTAAGCTATTGTGAACAATTCTGACAACCTCCTTCTCTTCATCACTTTCGACACCAAACAGATAGTCCAACGTATGGTGCAAGCCATATTGGTCCAGGAAGTTTGTGCATGATTGTCCATCCTAATAGTTTTCCGAACCTTTCTGGATATGGCGAACTTCCTACTACCGATCGCCTACTGATTGTCCTATCATCAAAAATCCTGCCTATTCTATGATAGCTTCATTCTCGTGCTCGGTCCCAAAAAGTCTGGATTGTGTCGTTGATACCCCCTCCTATATCAAACGCTTATTCTGTACCGAACTCAACTCGAGGGGTCTGAAGGAAAGTGATAATGTCTACACCATCTATCAACATGTCTCCATAAATGAGACTGTTTCCACTCACACCGATTCTATTTCTTATACTATCTAATATCAATGTAGTAGGGTTTATTTGCAATTGGTGAGATGGCAATAAAATTGTTTGTGATGGTAATATTGACGGTGGGATGATAAGGATATTTATTTAACGGGGTAATACGATGATGAGACATGTGATGTGGCTGTGACCGGAGGCGTTCGTGCCATTAACCATATGTGGTGAATTCATTTTCTCACACCAGATATAAAGAAACAATTGTTATTAATAGACTACGAATCGAAAAGCGCAGAAGACAATTTATTGCTTTAAGAGAAAGATCTACAGAATTGAAGGTGAATAAATTAGGAAAAGGCAGATTCATAAACGAATAAGCATAGGGAAAAAAGCAAAGGAAGTTAGTAATATGTGCAGGCGATAGCAATGGAATATACCAATCAGATTTATTTAGTATCTTAGATAATTTAAGTGAACGAACATTTATTTTGGATCATTACATCAGTTGTAAACGGGCTTCTTCTTTCACTGACCGGAGGCAAAGCTCGTTCATTCTCCGCGAATCATAGAACATCAAATGCAGGATTATACGTACGTAAGTCAGCTACAGATATTCATTTCAAAGTACCTCTCTGGCGTTGAGGATTTTTCGTAATTGTACGACCCACGATTACGATAGGTTAATTATTCAAAGAGAATGATCTTAATTCGTTAATATCATTATTTGGTTCATCTATAAATTCAAAAGCTTGCATTTTTTACGTGAAAAGTATGATTATATTTCGGCATCAGCATAGTAAATAATAGTGGAATGAAGATATAATTCTCTGCATGGTTTTCAAACCCCACATATGCTAGACATAAGTTTGCACCTTATTTTATCTTTGTTTAATAAAAAGTATTTGTTAGAATTGTTGAATTTTGATGCCGTTGACTGAAGCCGACGTCATCGATTCTGCAATTTAAAAATATGCCGCATCCGAAATGTTAATGTAAAGGACATTTAAGTGCACTTATAAAAACGCTCGCAAAATTCCATCATTTTGGGTGTGTTTGAATGTGTTGAGATAGTTTAGTAAATAATTATAATATTCATATTAAATAAACTACTACGATCAGTAGTAAAATCAATTAAATTTATTGTCTACGATTTTGATTGGAGTCATTCACTAGGAGCGGCTGAGAACGAGTACAGTAAACTGCCGATAATTCGACCGATTATAACAAGTCGATTTATTTGACTATCACATATAATAAAGATTTTCTTTTTCGCTATTATAATCTTCATTATTAA